GTTACAGTTTGGGTTTTGAAAAAAAGGTTTAACATTTTTTGTACCAAGCTTAAATTGTATATAATGTTATTGATACCAATATACTTGTCTGGTTTTATAGCTTCAGGTTTTATAGTTGCAAACAGTCGAGTCATTTTGGCGCAATTAGATTGAAAACTTTTTGGGTTGTAGATCCTATAGTTACTTTTTGGATTTTGGAAAAAGGTTTAGCATTTTTTTGTACCAAAGTTGAATTGTATGTAATGGTGTTGATACCAATGTCTTGTTGCAAACATTGTGGTTTCTTATTTCAAATGTAAATAAAAATATATAGTTTTATGGTTGTAATCATTTTTTGTTTGGTGGTATCAATTGATCATATATAGTTTTATGTTATTCATTGTAAGTATTATATAAAAGAAATTCAAATGCAATTAGGTGTCCTATCATTAACTAAAACATAATTCTATATTATATATACACTTGAATAACAGAAAAAGTTTGCATATCACTAAACAATATAAGATTCATACATATATAATTACTCATGGTAGAGCCAACATATCATTCCTAATCATATCATCCTTACCCACTTCAAATAAAAAATACAAAACAAATTAAACATCAAACCCATTTTGTATAGCCTCTGTGACTTTGCTTCCATTTTTGTATATAATATAGCATTCTTCAATCCTGCTTGTATCTCATCATTTTAAACTTTCAATACAACAACTTCGTTAAATAAATCATCATTGCTAAACACTGTTCTTTTACATTCATTTTCACTTTTAAACTTGGCATTCATTCCTTTTAATGCTCTATTTTCATCCTTCAAAATTGAAATTTTTTCTTTTTAAACCTCTATTGGCATCCCTTAAATCAATAATCCATAGTTTCATATATTCATCTTTAATTGGCTTATCATGCCAAGCAAAAAATTGACATCAATTTTCATGTATACATCATATATTTCAATTATACATTCTATTATCATACCAAATACAATGTCAAGGCTAATCCAACTTCAAGACCATGATTTAGACTCAATATCAATAATCAACATTCATAATTATTTCATATATACCTGATAGTTACTACAACCAAAGAAATGCTTTTTAAGATTATCATCACTTGTTGAAATGATTAGAGAAGCCTTCAATATGCAATAATGGTATACAGACTCATCTATAGTCATAAGTTACTAAAATAAATATAAATCTATTGTCAATTCAACATTCGAACATAATATCAAAATTAAAAAAAAAAATTTGAATTTGTTGTTAATTTAGGGTTTAACATTTTTTAGACCCTTAACTTTTTTTGGTAAACGATAAACTTAATAATGTTAAATATACATTCAAACTAAAAAAAAAAAATTACCATTGTTGGATTTGTTGTAATTTTCCATTGGTTTTTTTTTCTTTTACTTCAACTTCAGACAAGCTCAACCCAATCAAAATGTGAAAAAAGATAGTCCAACATGTTACAATAAGAAATCACTACTTATGAACACAATCAATGTAACATTATAAAAATTTTTTTAAAATAATTCTAATAATGAATATAACCCTAGCCTATCAACCCAACCTTTTCAATGTAGCAATTAGGGTTTAGGGTATTCAAAAATCCTTTTCTTCAGTTTTATAAAAATATCAATGAGAAAAAACTTAGAGATTGTAATCAAGTGCAACAAAGTTTTAATGATAAGCCAGTAAGAAAAACGATTCATTGCGCCTGTTCCAATCTAAATGAGAGAAATCCAATGTTTCTTAGTTAGGGTTTATTGATACATCGAACTCGAATCCTCTCTCATTTCCAATCAACTCTTACAAGTTTGTTTTTCCAAGATTTCGACTTGGTTTTCACAATTTCAATTTGAAATTTAAGAACAAATGAGAAACGAAGGATTTAAAAACAAAGAATTTGGGTTCAACAATTTTTCTTTCTATTTTTTGTTTTAGTTCTCTGTCAATTTTAATTTTTTGTTAATGATATTAGAGAAATGTTAAGTATAAATAATATTTACAATAAATTGTTAATGCTAACATGGATCTATGTAGGCCACGTGGCTAATATTTTAATCCATGTCAGCACAAAAAATAATATAAACTGATGAAAATGCCTTATTAGCAGCCATTTCAACATTTAATGGATAAAATTTAAGACTATCAACGATTGGATTGAAATTAATAAATTACAATAGTACAAAAACTAATTGTCTTTGAATTAGAGTAGAGGGACTAAATTCCCAAAATTTAAAGAGTAAAGAGATTATGGCACATTTTGATCTTTATATTATTATGATATAACTTGTAGAAAAATTTATGTCTAAATTTCAGCTCAAGCTTAAATATAATTTGATAAATAAGCCTAATTGAGTTGAACTCAAAGTGTTAGGTTTTTATCTCGAGTCGAACTCACTCAAGTGAAAAATATTTAACTTGATCAATATTGAGCCTTAAGTTTAGAGTAGAAAATGAGTTTAAGCTCGAGTTTTTCATTATATTAACTTAGCTTGGCTTGATTATACCCTTATTTGGCATGTTAGGGTATGTTTGGATGAAAGAATAAATGATACCCTTATTTGGTATATTAGGATGAAAGAACAAATGATTTAAGTGAATGAAAGCTTAAATTTATTATGTTAACTACAAAGTATATATACAAGTGTCATGTTGGTGATAAGTTATAGGAGTGTTTTTTGGTAGGATGGTACTTTAAAATCTATATTCCTTGGTAGAAATAGTTTTAAACTTATTTCTTTAAAGGAGGCATTTAATGGCATGTAAACGTCATGTCAAAATTTTTAAATAATAATTTAAAAAAAAATAAAATTTTTTAAAGCCAAAACATTGTGCGATTCTTTACTAAATTATAATCTCTAATAAACCTAAATGCTATTTTCTATCATCAAAATTGTGGAACAGAGAGTTTTGGAAAGGCCATTTTTTAATGTAAGTGTTGTGCACTCAGAATCAACTAAACTTTCAGGTGCTTCATAAAATTTATCATCTCCTTCACTTGGGGACAAATATTATTCCTTTCAAAACTTTGATTTCCAACATCATCTAATAATGAATGTGCATCTGGCCTTTATGTAAAAGATCATGCCAAATAGCAAAGCAAAGAGGCAATATTGCAGCAAATCAAATCGTCAATTTTCAAATATATCAGCATTGTACCTGTTAGGGGTATTTTTGGGTCAATAGGGCAAATTGGTTTTTTTCTTTATTAATGACTTTTGGATCAACTTAACAAATATAGTGTCACATCAGTTTAGCCATGTCACTATCCTACCTCACAAACCTCTTACTTTTTACCTATAAATAGAGCCATCTTGATATTATCTAACCAATCTAATCCAATTTTCTCTATTACTTTCTTACTTCTCTTTCTAACCTTTTTTGTCTGAGTTCTGACTTGAGCATCGGAGTGTAAACATAGAGAACACTCCCTACTTTTACTCCTAACCATTCTTTTTTTCTTACGATTTCAAGATCTTTACCCCTAATTTGGAACTCAGCACAAACAGTACCTATGAACATATCATTCCCTTTGATTGAAAGGTCAACTTGATTGCTTATTGGTCGAAATTCAAATAATGTATATTTGTTAGTAAAAGCATCTTAATGCAACAACCTCTTATTCAACTCATCTTTTTTCCTAGAACCCAATTTTCCTAAACTACCATCGCCACAACTTGAACTTCTAAGCTTGCACAAATTACTAACTCCAAACACTGAAGCAGTTGCACTTTTCTCCCTCTAAAACTAAAAAAAAAAATTCTCCTATGATAAAAGACAAGAGTAAGTTCTTATTTGTTTTAACCTTAAAGAAAAGGCCAAGGAAGACACAAAGGAAAGCTCATCCTTGTTATCAGCTTTTTGGAGGTAGAAAAAAAAGGCTTAGCAGCTGAGGTTTGGGTTTTTTTTTTTTTTTTATTACAAGGGTTGAAGGATGGGTTTGCTCAAAACTGTGCCTTACATGTCCTTTTTAAGGCTTTTTAGTCACTAGGTTAGGACAATTTGATATTTTTTATTGTAAATTTTTTACAAATTTTTTTTATTGGTATAAAAGGTTTTTTTTTGTATTTTATTTTATAAAAATATATGAAATTGATATGTCTTAGATTATCTTATGTGAGGAAATAAATTTAAACAACTCTTATTAAAAAATAAAGATTTTAAACAACTCTTAAAAAAAAAAAACCAAAAACCTTCTCAACGGAATATTGTTATCATAGATTACTTAGTTGAAAATAGACAAATGACTAGATTATTAATTTTTAGTACTCACAATTATACTTATTCATATTACTCATCACTAATAAATTAAACTAAACAAGTAAACAGTTTCAATAAAACACACGTCACTACTAAAAAGTAAAATAATATAAAAGAAATATTATTGTTGTAGATTACTTAATTGACCTAATGGTCTAATGATCTAATCATACTTCATTAATATTCGTTTCCTTTGATATTTTTTATGGAGTAGCTATTATTACTTCTAATAAGTGTTTTTTTTTTTTAATATTACTTCTAATAAGTGTTTGTCATTGGTACATGAAGCTAAATCTTCATTTTGTTGAAGATAGAGTTTTTTTCTTTAACGAGGTCAATTTTTCATTGTTGGTTAAAGATTTTTCAATCATAATTAAAAAAATAATAGTAAAAAATTGAAAAGATAATTTAAAGTTATTAAATTTTAATAAATTTATGTCATATTTGTTATTTTTAATTACATTAATAATTTTGAAAAGTAAAATTATTTTTAATTTAATTTTAAATAATTTCGAATAAATATTTCAAACGAATTCAAATTATTTTGAATTCAAATTAATTTAATTTAAATTATTTGAGATTCAAATCAATTTAAATTTAAATCAAGTCAAGATCATATCAATGTGGATTAAAATCAATGTGTAATAAATTGTACAAATTTAAATTATTGATTTTCTATCAAATTAGATAAGATCGAATTTGAATTCAATCAAGTTCATCAAATTTTTCGAGTTTGAGTCAGCTTTACCTCCTCAAATGAAAATTATATTCAAGCTTAATTTTATTTATTTTTAGAATAATTTTTTAAAGATGAAAAATTGAAACCAATCTTTTATAAGAAGATATGTATATTAAATCTTCTCAACTAAACACAAAGGCATTTTGCCAGTATCCAAGTTTAAGCCCCAACTAATACTCGAAGATTTTCGAGGGAGAAAAATTCATAGTTGCTCCCAGAGATTGGTGGAAGAAAAACCATATCGTTTTCCTTCTTTTAAAGGTCTAGCTAGCAGAAACCTAGTTGATCTCTACTCCAAATGATTCCACACACCACACACACATATATATATATACATAACTTGCAAGGAAGTCCTGAAAATCCTAACATACAACGCAGTGGCTGCACTTTTGCACGTATGACAAAAACAGCAAAAGGGCTGCAAGGGGAGGGGCATAGGGCACAAAATTATGATCTAAATATCCAAGTTTAGAACATTTAACATGATGCTGAAAACTCACAGAGACATGAGAGTGCGGAGATCGTCTATTGTGACTTCTTTCCGATTCTTTGTGCCCTTCCTTCCGAAAGCTTCCATTGCTAGTTTCTTCTTCCTCTCCTGCAACTCCAACACCCTCTCTTCAATGCTGTTTCGAGCAATCAGCCTCACAATCTTTACATCCTCCTTCTGCCCGATCCGGTGAACCCTATCCATAGCCTGTTCCTCAACAGCTGGATTCCACCATGGCTCCAACAAGTAAACTCTAGAAGCAGCTGTAAGGTTGATACCTGCACCTGAAGCCTTGAGACTTGCAAGTAAAACTGTTGGCCCATCTGGTCCTGGAACTTGAAACTCTTCAATTACTTGAGCTCTCCTTTTGGCATTCATTGATCCATCTAACCGCACGATCTTAAAACCAGCAGCTGTCAGAGGCTTTTCAAGTAGTAGCAACATAGTTCGGAACTGAGAGAAAACAACTGACTTTGTAGCAGGGTTTTGATCTCTGGACTCCTGAAGGAGGGTTAATAGAGCAGACACTTTTGAAGATGCGGTGTTCCTTGATGATATTTGAGTGTGGTCAGCATCAGAAGATTCTGGAGGGGCTGAAAAGAGATCGGACTGAGATAAGGGATGACGACACAGAGGGCAGAAGGGTTTTGTACGCTGTAGGGTTTTAAGGATGCAGGACCGGCAAAAGATGTGGGCACAACATGTAATTACTACATCGATTGGAGGAGAGATACAAATAGGACAGTCGAAATCCTCACCATCTTGTAGCATCGCAACCATCTTTTTTAGCAACTCTGGGTTGTTGGATACATCTGTTTGGAATTGATTTACATGTTATAAGTGCACTGTAACAACAATCATTAACATGCATGATTAATAGTTTCAAGTTTTTCTGTGACGCAGAAACATTTTAAAAAAAACAGCCTAGAGAAGATGAAAACAGCGAGCAATTTGAAAGAATGAAACAGCAGTATTCATTTCAAGAGTGATACTACCACACCCCAAAGCAGATGTATGTTGAAAACAGATATTAGTAGTAAAATATCATAAGTTCAAATAATTTAGAGGCTGACCTCATACATTGCAAAAGTCAAGCAAACCCATTGGATTCTAAATCATAAAGTTTCAAAATTTAGCATGCTGGTTCAAAAATGTTGATAAAAAATATGAAAACATTGTTGTTTAATCACTTTTCAGAGCAATTCTATAATTTGGAGTACGATTGTTTCCCAAACTTCATCTATTGAAGCAGGAAAGGAGCTATACCACAAAAATACAGCAGAATGCATACGTTCGTTGGAATCCCTGGCAAGTGCAGAAAGGGGTGAAATTCTAAACACTAATAGCTCTCTGTTGCCATGAATGTATAATGTTTTAAAATTTCATTGCCCTTTATTTTCTTAAACTGAAGCCGTGTTTTTTTTTTAACATATGTTAAAGAAAGTTTTCCTGAGTGGCAATATCTTTACACAATTCTTCACCAGAAAATTATCCAGGAAATAAAGTTGCCAACATCAAGATCACCATTATTCTTGGACCAGTCCTGACAAGCTAATGATCCTTACTAACCACTCTAAATGAGTCCACAAATTATATCCTCTCAAACTTTGATAATCCCAGATATTAGACAAAAAGGAATTGAGCTGACATATGAGAGAAGATACCACAGACATCTTTCAACCATCTGACTTACTCTCACATTCCATCTTAGCTGCCTGAGGATTTCCTTTATCACAAACCTAGATCCTAATGTACTTAGCATCATAAATTTTGCTTTACAAGATAACTTAAGAAATCTACCGAAGCATCATATACTACTCTATGTATGTGTCTCACCACACAAAAATGCATGCATTAAAAACTTATTTTCTAGAGACGTTTTTGAAGTCCATAAGTGCTCCCATTAGTTCTCAGAAGTCTGAAAGATTTCCTCCAATTAGCACATATATATTTCACTGTCCTAATCTATACCTTCAACTTCCTTCTAAGCGTCTTCCCATGCAGAAATTTACAATAACAAATAAACGGATTCAAGCATTTTCTGTGAAATTGCTTGATGACTATTAATCAAAACATTCCCCGACCACAGGTGTACTTCTGAACGCCAGTAACCTTAACAAAATATTAAATTACAAGACAAATCCTTCTTTTCTTTTTATTTATATATTTATTTATTTATTTTCCTTAATAGTTACACATAAAAGCGTAGCATGTCTTTCAGGAGTTGCGATAGTCCAGAAAACCATAAATAAATTCTGCATGTAGGAATCATAAATTCCTTAGAACCAACAAAGGATTTCACCATATAGAATTCATAAATTCCTCGGCCTTAATCATAGCCTAAATATCCACATGTTTGTCAATCAAAACAATCCTTGCAAAAGCAATATGCTGTCATCGCCCTTTCAAATAATCCTCTTAACATAGAACTTTCTTTTCTATCTTTAGGGAAAAGCAAAACCTTAACTAACATATGATCTAGAAAAGCTGTCAGAATTTAAAAGAATAAATGTGTACTCCAAACCTCCAGTCTTTGTTAGAGCAAGCAACCAAACTTAATCTCCAAAACATAAAAATCTTGTAAACTATTATAGGATTAATTTTAATGGAACCTAAAGAAATGATAAGGAAAGTGTATAGAATAAATACCTTCAATATTGCTAGATGGGAACAAGGCTTTGAGATCTGGAGGTAACAGGGCCACACTAGTACAAATCTGCCGAAGTCGTAAAAGTATGCCAAGCACAGTTGAATAGTTGCGCATTAGATTGCCATCATTAATGAACTCTTGGATAACACTTTTGGCCTTTCCTTCAATCTGATCATAAAGTTCACGTTCTTCAATAGAAAGCTCAACATAACATGTTTGTAATGTTCTTGGTGGCAATCCAAGTAAGTCATTGCCCTTTGTTCTCCGCAAGGAAATGCTTGCCATCAAAACCTGAAAGAATTTTAATTTGTAAGAAAATTAATATGTATAACAAAGAATGAAACCAAAAGGAGTCTAACCTATATAGAGGTCTAAGTGAGCTACTTGTGCTCAACTTGCCAACTATCATGTTCAAATTAAAGAATATCAAGTATTATTCAAGTTTGAGTAACTCAAGTGACAGTTTTAGTCTTCATAAACAACTCAAGTACCTCACAAATCTAGTTAATTTCTTAAAATGTTTTACAAACTATACACATATAATAAAAATATCAAATAACAATATATGTTTCCAGCTCTGTTTTATCTTAATTATGTATGGTAATTGAGTTGAATCCATTTCAGAGGTGCCCAGTATCTCTCAGGTAAGTTTCCAACATTCACTTAATTTGTTGAGTTAACCCAACTTGACTTGATTACACCACCAATGCTATTAAAAAGAAGTTATATATTTATAAGTAAGCAGTTTAAAAAAAATTAAGAAATTAAATTTTATGAAACATGTCAAGATCAAGCTTAGGGGGATTCCCTTTTGATCAATCACATACTCCTGCTTGGCTTAAGAATTTAGTCAAATGCCCTCAACATATATTTACTATTTCACAAGCAATGGTCTTATTTTTATTGAAACATTTTCATATTGGAAATAGTTTATTTTTGAGATACAAAAACTGTCATCGGGTTTAGAACACTTGCTGCTTGAATAAATAATACAAAGTTATTCAAGAACCAAATGGTTCTTGCAATAACAAAGCTTATTACAGAGTCCACACTACATTATGATCTTCCATTTTCTACATCTACATGGCTACCTAACATAGTTTAGTGTTTCTTTTTTCAACAGAGATTCTTTCTATGATCCTAAAGTGTGACTCACCATCTAGAGAAAGAAAAAAAAAAAGCAAAGCAAAGAAAAATTCATTTCTGAAACACTAAGAATTTACTTATGTCAAAGTGACAAAACTAGGAAACATATGAAAACCTCAAACGGTCCCCTCAAACAAGCAATATCTAGGATATGAAATTAATGAAATAAATTGCTTTAAAAAGAGCAAACAAATTCATGTTTGGCCAGGCATGATAACCATGTCAACAAACAAAATAACTGGACATAATGAAAAAAAAAAAAAAGTAATGGGGTGGAATCCCGTTTAAAACCAGGCAGTTGTACTCAATCCATTCTTCAAGGTCGTGGTGAGAATATCAATTATATAAGAAGAAGAATTACTAGAAATATGGTTACCTGAAGACGAGAAAACCCGTTCTTTTTACCCTGAGCAAGGGGTCGTTGAACCAAACTTCTCCAATAGCTCTTGATAGAAAATGGTTCAAACCGCAAAAATGCCATCAAAGAAAACAAGTCAAGTGAGCCATTCTGGATGGGTGTTCCTGTAACAACCCATCTACATGTGGCCTTCAAATTAGTGACAGCTATACTCTGTTGAGCATTTGCATTCTTAATCACATGTGCCTCATCTAAGATGACTCGCCACCACTCCATCTTCTTCACAGGAGAGTCTAACCAAGATTCTTCAGTAGCCAGAGTGCTATAAGTTGTCAACACAATATCATACTTCTTAAGCTCCTCAACTTCTCTAGTTCTCTCTCCATAATACATATACACCTTCAATTTTCCCGGATTAGTGTGCTCTTCTAGCTGTGTTATCCATGATGAAAACACAGAGGGAGGACACACAACTAATGTCGTTCTTTGGCCCAAAAAACTAACACAGTCATCAGCTACACTCACAGATTTCCCCTTTGCTTTCCTGCCAAATTCAGTATCCTCAATCTTCCGCTTTTTTCGTGTTCCAGTACCCTTCCTACTAACTCTACCCCTCTTTCCCTTCTTAACATCCTCCTCAACAATCTCATCTATGCCAGCATCACCAGAATTTGGAACAAAACTAAAAAATTTATCAAAAGCAATCAAAGAAAGCAAAGTTAGAGTCTTACCTAATCCCATATCATCAGCAAAAATCCCTCCGCGCAAGGGCTCAGGACGTTTATCAGTCTGATAATTTGTCAGTACATTCACAAATTCTCCACCTTTCTCCTCCCAAAAGGGAGGCAGCTCATCCGAATTCTCCCTATGAAGTAACCATCCTAAACCCTCCTTCTGATGCAACAAAAGCTGGGATATAATAACCTCATTCGGAGGCTCCACAGGTCCCATTGCTGCCTTCTTGCTAACATTCTTCCCAACCAACTTGAAAACCTTGTCTACACTCTCCCCTCCAGCCTTGTTTCCCTTCACCACAGCAGCCTCGGACAACGTGAAAGACACGTCAGATTGGGAAATTAACTCCAACCCACCTCGCGAAATCGCGGATTTAACAGAATTGAAGGCTTCTAATCTTGCGAAAATGTGAATTTGACAAGGGATTCTAAACCTATTACTAGCACTACGAGAATTAGGCACAATACCTTCGACGATAATCAAGTTAGAGTCTATCAAAGGCGACAGAACGGCGGCTACGGAACGCTCGATATGGCCGACTTGAAGGGTTCTAGTGTTGAGAACTTTGATAGCGTTTGGGTCGTAAGGGTTGAAAGGTTCTCGCACAAGACCCACCATTTCTCGACCACTGATTTTGCCTCTGTAATGCTGAAGGCCTACAATGTTGGAGATGACAAAGCCAAGCAAGTAAGTGTCGGGGGAAGACTGGGAAGAGGGTTCCTGATCCTCTGAGCATTCATCTAAATACAAGGAAAGCGAAATTGGGTCTGCAGATTCGTCCATTAGGTTGGGGGCTTTAGCTTTGGGTTTAAGAGAGACAGGAAGAGAAGTGTTTTGAATGGCAATGGAAAGGCGAGGTTTCCACACTCCCAAGTTTCCAACACGTCGTTTATTCTTAATCCCACTCTGTTATCATTCTGGAAGCACCACCGTCGCTCTTCTTTTTATTTAATCCCTTTATTACTTTACTATTTTTTTGGCCAATTTATTACTTTATTACAATTTCCCACAATAAAATTTTGTGGTGATTAATGCTTCATTTGGCTTCAATTAAAGCATCAGTGATATGATACAACTAAATTGATGGATTATCCGGAAAACAAAATTTAGAGTGTTTCAAACTTTTTCATTGCATTATAGCCTTAAAAATTGATTGGGTCCTTAAGGTTCAGTGAAAATAATCCACTCTCTCTGCGACGTTCTTTCCTCTATTACCCTTTTATATATATATATATATAATATATATATATAAATATATATATATATACATTTTGGACTATAATGTTTTTGGACTATAATGTGTGAACGAAAATGTCTCCGTCATTTATAGCCTTTATTCCTTGTCTTTTCTATTGTTTATTTGTTTTTCTCTCTTTTTTTATTTAAAAATTTTCATATAAGTTCATTATAATTATTTAATAAACCATTTATATAATTATTTAATTAATTAATAGCTAAAATCCATAAATAAATAATCAATTTTATAATCAAATAAATTATTAGTAAACGAACAAAAAGAAGCATCTTTATAATTAAGTAATTAATTAAAATAGATAATTATACAAATAATAAATTAAATAAATATTGGTTATTTTTATTTTTAGATTTGTAAATATATCATCATTTTAAAAAATATTGATTCCTTGGAAATAAAATAATCATATAAACAAAAATAAAGAGCTAAGAAATAATAAACATATAATCAATTTATTTATTAAATAAAAAATTAAAAAATAAAAATGCTATATAAATTTGCTTAAGAAATATTAATTAATTAATTATTTAAAGTGATAAATAAATTTATATAATATAATTACATAGCAAATAAATAATGTCTTTAATTGTACATTTTAGATTAATGTCTTTAATTTTAAAACATTATTATTAATTTGTAATAAATTTATAAAAATATACTAAAATTTTATTATATACAAATTTTAATATAATGTTTTTAATTATCATTTTATTTTTCACTATAATTAACCTCACTATTGTTGTCACATTTGTATCCAAATACATATTTTATTATTAATTTTAATATCATTACTATAACAATTAATCTCATATTCATATTCATGGTTATTTTCAATCTTATTGAAGTCAATTTTACATTCCATTCGAATAGATCTTAAATAATTAATCCATCAAACCAAAAAATAATTAAAAAATTTTATCAAAAATTATTTAGTTTAGAGAATATGTAATAACATTTTTTAAGTTTCTGATCTAAAAAAAAAATTATGTGCGTGAGAAAAAAATAAAAGATGATTTTTTTAATTAAAAAGAAAAAAGAAATAATATTTTAACATTCAAATAAAAAAATAAGAAAAAAAAGTATGGTGGGTAAAATTCTTTAAATAATTACTTTTTTTTCTTCAAATTGTGTGTCAAATATCTTAGAGAAACTTTTTATTTATAGTGTTATGTGAGGGAGTTCGAAAATAACTTAATTTTTTTATGTTATCTCTAAATTAATTATTTTTAATTTAATTAAAGATAAAAAAAAAATGATACATAAGTATAATTTAATTAGATGATCCATGAATTCTTAAAACTTAATTGGTTGAAATTTGAATTTATTTTAAATTATTTTAATTTATCTAAAGATAAAAATGATGACTCATTGGAAAATTATGATTGGTTAGATTATGAGTTTTTGAAATTTGATTGGCCAAATTATATGTATTATTATGATTGTTAAAGTAGTGTTATTCCACTTTTATTAAATATTTAATTTTTTATAATCTTAGATTTAAGTTACCAATCTCCACCTACCTCTGACTAGTTTTAGATTGGATGTTTAATATGATATCAAAGCCAAAATTTCTTTTTTATTACCTTTTTCAAAATTGTCACGTGATAAACTTATTCCATCTTCGCCTACATGTGATGAAAGCTTATTAAAATAGTATTTTCTCACATATAATAAATATTTAATTTTTTGTAATATTATATTCAAGTTGGTCCATTCACTTATTGTCAATTGGTTTTAGAATGGATGCTTAACATGATATTAAAACTCAGATTTTGTTTTGTTGTTCTTACCTCATTTTCAAGTTTATCATGTGATAAGCTTTGTTTTATCTTTATTTACATATGATAGAGGCTTGTTAAAGTAGTGTTACCTTACATCTGTTAAGTATTATGTTTTTTGTGGTCTTATATTTAAGTTAGGCCTTTCTATCTATTGTCAATTGGTTAGGTTGACAAAGTATCCAAGTCAAAATTTCATTTTTATTGCTTTTTTCAAATTTATCATGTGGTAAATTTTTTTTATTTTGATCTATACGTGATAGGGCCTATTAAATTAGTGTTAGTTCACATCTATTAAATATTGAGTTTATTGTGGTCTTATGTTCAAGTTGGACCTCTCCATCTATACTAATTGATTTTAGATTAGATCTCTTCATCTATATTAATTAACTTTAGATTAGATACTTAACACTCTTTTCAAGCAAGGAGTGTAGCATTTAAGCTTTTAGGAGATGATAGGAGATGAAATACCACACTTACACAAGCTTTACAATGGGCTACAAATAAAAAACTTAGACATTTTTTTTTAACAATATTAATGTTTTGTGAAGTTTGGAATTCATTATCATTCTAGGAAAACAATTAAAAATTATTATAAAAAAACATAAAGCATAGACTAAAGCAACCATTTAGATTGAGTCAATATCAATTTTGGATGATCATTTGAAAAATTATGTTCTAGTGGCTTTGGAGCAACTATTCACTATTTAGTAAAAATTAGTTTTCTGTCAAAACACAAATTGTCAATACCAACAATATTGAGGTTGCATTTGATTTCTGATAGAATTTTGCATGAAAGATTAAATTACAATTTGCCGCTACTTCAACAGCAACATTTGGAGATGTCATTTAATTTGAACAGGGACCAAATGTAGATTTATCATCTTATTAATTAGGAATCAATTGATAATCAATCTCTACTAGAGGATATTCTATTTTTCACTATATTACTTAGAGACAATTACTAAATTTGCTAAATTTTTACATTTATACTTGAAATCAAATAGAAAAAGTAATGGTAGAAAAATGAAAATTTGACTATAAAGCATGAAAAAGTGTTAATCGCCAGATGCGATTGTCGATCAATAGGGTTTGTTTTGAATTTTAGGATCACAAAGTGAAACAACAATAAAATATGATTGTCTATCAGTAGAAGATGGCCTTTTTGGTGGATGATATATCAAAAATTAGAGTGGCAAGGGGTGATTTGAAGTTTGAAGGACTTTGGCAGTGACAAGATGCGACTAGTTGTTTGGAAAGCTAGAAATGACTAAGCATAGACTTGAGGATGAAAAGAACTTCCAAGCACTTGAAGTAAAGTAGGGTAAATTGTGTGAAAATAAGAAAATGGGAGAGGGTATTTATAGCCAAAGTGTGATGAAAGAACTAAGTTTGCTATAAAAGTCAGATTTCATCAGATGAAAGTGAGAGTTTTAGAAGAAATTTTCTCCAAGAAATTACTAAAGTAAAATCATGTGATTTTTGAAATAACACCATGTAAGTGCTAATCAGTACTCACGAGTGCCAATCAGCACTAGAAAAAGTCTTAAATTCATCAAAGATTGAAAGTCAGGCCAAAGTCATCTTTATATCAAATTTGGTCATCGCTGATTGAAACTAAGGTGTGTCAATCAGCTTTATGGTTGATATTAGGCTTGGGAAGTAAAAAATTGCATCTAGATCCATGATTTTTGAAAAAAAAAAAAAAAAACATCTGATTGTCAACCAACACTTCAGTGTGTCATAAACATTCCAGTTTCCATATCTGCAAAGTGAACTTTGAACAACTATTACTTTCTTGTCTGATATCAGATTGAGTGATTTTCGTGTAACTAGAAGCTTAGAAAGTCTACTTTCAAATAAAATTGTTTTCACTCAAATATTCAAAAGTATTTTCCAACGTATACTAAAAATATTAAAAAATATATTAGATTTCAAAACATGCTTTGTAATTCATCGATGGTATAAGCAATTTTCTATGATTTATAAGCAAACCATTTTATTTTTTTAAAAAAAGTTCATCTATTCCATTAATTTAATAAAAAATAATTAATACTTACAAAAATGCATTAAAATTGTCTCTAAGTCTTTGGACTAAAGGTGGTCATAGATTAGATCGGATCGAATTTAAGTCAAGCTCATATTTGGTATTAATAACTTATATGTTTACTAATGTCCAACTTGACCTGATATTTAGAACTTCAAAATTTTTTCAAACTTGACCCAAATTGAAAAAATAAATCTCAAGTTCCCTTATTAAATGTAATTTATATAATAAAAATTTAAAAAATCCTTTTAAAAAATATAAAAATAAAAATTTACATATATATACTTATATAATTATAATATTTTAATTATATATAGTTTATTTGGGTCGGACCAGGTCAGCTTTAGGCTTTAATCCTTTGTCTAAAATCCAATTTGAAATATAAATGGATCTAAAAATTATGTTAAAATCTGTTTAATGGATTTTAATTTTTTGTCTAAGTCTTCTTAAAACTTATATAAACCTTTAGGTTTGAGTGGATAACTTGATCCTTAAACACGTCTACTTTAGACTAATGGTTAAGATGTTTGATGAAGATATAGGGTTTGGTACCAAACCCTCATTTCCCCAATGTATCTTGTAATAAAAAAAAATGCATTAAAATTAATATGATAATTTTTCATATTTTTTATTTAAATTAATTTTTAGAAAATAAAATATTTAATATTTTTATTTTTATATAAAAATCTAAAACACTTAATTATTAATGAATCTATTTATTGTTCAACATCCAATTATATATATATATATATAATACTGAAAAGCCGTAAGATATTATCATATTGATTTTCAAAATCTCATGCTCTATAATACAAATATTAAATGTTGAATATTTGATAAATATTTATTTAATATATTGGTGTCTTCATAAATTATATAGAGAGGAAAAGTCATAAGACATTATCACATTGATTTTAATATTTTTATATCAATTTCATTTGAAAAAACTTTTCATATTCTACTAAAACCACTTAACTCAAATAGTAGAAAAAAATACAAGTTGTAAGATTTTGAAAAAGAAAACAATTAATTAAATCACTTTTATTTGGAATTTGTATATGAGATTTTACATAAATATAATATAGCTTTTTTTTCATTGTAGTTAGGTCTTGCATTTCTAAATAGGCAATAATTGAAAATGAAATGTTTTTTATTATTTGTAATATTTAAATTGTTAATTATTTATGATTTTTGCAACCCTTACACAAAATTTATGGTTATTTTCCCATTTTGTCCTTCGTTGAAGAGAGTCTCAAATGTTATTAGAAGACGTTGATTCTGAACAATGATGGAGGAAGAAAGATTAAGATTTGGTGAAGAAAGAAAGTGTTATGGTTTTTGGCTTTATATTTTTTTTATAAGCCCAATCTTAGTTGAATCATTTTTTATATTATCTTAATTAATTATCTAAAGATAAATCTTTAAAAAAAAAAAAAGGAATATGAATAAATTTTATTTGAAAGACTTTTCATATTTTCCTAACATACTTTCTCAACTAAAATCGTAAGGAAACGAAAAGTCAAATTACGCTATTATTTGAAATTGAATTTTTTTTCATATTTTATTGATTAATGGTTTCAAAATAAATCTTTGGAAAGAAAGAGAATATAAATAATTTTTTTAAATAATAAAATATGTTTAATTTTTTTCGGTTTTTGTAAAATCAATTATTTATAATTTTTGAAACTTTTATACACATTTTATAGTTATTTATAGATTTAGATGTGATTTTTTTTATTTCACTCATTTGATCTCTATCATTATTTTGTAAGAATCTCTATCATATGTTCACTGCACTGATATTTTATTTTGAGTTTCTTGAATGTTTCATGGTGATGCAATAGCTATATACAAGGTTCATTTTTCTTTCCTTTTTTCTTTTTTTTTTTGGTATCATTGTCATTGTCATTTTATTGGTTTCCTTTGTATGTTTTTTTTCTTCAAGTTTTGCTAATTAATTTTTATTCCAATGAATAGATTTTCTAAAAAATAAACATTAGTTGGACTTAAAATGCTTTTAAATAAAATTATTTTAGTATCATTAAGAAAGAAAAAAATGGAAAAAATATTTTTTTAAAATTTCTATTTTTGTTTAAAATTTTTATTTAAAATTTCCTTTTTATTAAAAAATTTTTAGATTGTTGGTTTTATGTTATTTAAGCATTAAAATTAAAAATTTTGAGGGAAAAACAGAACAAATTAAAAAATTAAAATAATCAACTTTTTTAATTTTTAAAAGTAAAAAATAATTTAAAATCTCTCCAATATAATTTTTCAATAGACAATTTTTATAATTTTTTTCAAAATCTAAAAATTATTTTCTAAAATATAACAATTCTTTTTTTTTTTAACAAAAGATACAATTTAAAACTTTTAACGAATAAGATTAGGTTAGGCCGTGGTGGCCAAGAAAGATGCGATTAGGCCGTATGTCTATCTTAATCAACCGCTCTCAAAAGTGATGTAACAATATTTTGGTCAAATGACACGTTATAATTTGCCCATTAACACGTTATCGGATTTTCTCAATGGTATTCGATGTTGAAGCATACAGGTAAACAGAATAAAAATTGAAAATATGAAGTTCTATATATTTTTTAATACATCTATCACATTAATAATTTTTTTTATTTTATTAGAATAGCTAGATGGAGCCAACATTCACATGATATTTTGATAAAGTTTTGAATTTTGAATTATGATAATTAAAATTTAAAATTTGATAACCTCATATATTAAAAAAAAACTAAATAAAACATTATCTCAAAATAAAATTGTCAAAAACCAAACACATATTGGTACCATTATTCATTTTTGTTTTTGGTAGACTGATGCCATAAGGAATGCTACAATAAGCAACCATATGTCCATGGTTGTGGAGATGGATCAATCACATTCGGCTGTAATTAGTAAAAGCACTAGGATTTAAGGAAGCGACTGCATGTAACTCTTGGTTACGCTCAAAAAAGGCCATTTCTACCTCGTCCAAGGTCACCCATGCTTCTAAGGCGCCGTCCTGTTTAGAATCTAGCAACACAATCGAGTTCTGGAACTTACTTGGACTAGTCACCCATACCGGCTTTCCCCACCCAAAGTCCATTTCATAAAATGGATAGCCGCACAAGTTTGTACAAGTATAGGTGTTCATGTCTGCTAACTTTCCATTCAGGAGCTGCGCAATCTTTTTACGAGACTCTCCAACATCTGCATAACCTTTTTTACTTTTAATTCTTTTCACCTTTTCGTTGCAAACGTTGGTAAACTCATTCTTCATCTTAGAAACCAGTTGATGGAGTTCCACATCACTCTCTTGGAACATCACTGCATATTTCCAGATAAGATTTCCTACTGTATTTCCAGGTAAAGGCGGAACTATTCTTTTACGTAAGTTTACAACGTTGAGCAAAGCAGACTGCATAGATCGAGAGGATCCATATTTTGATTGTGAAGCAGCAGCTGCGCATTTAAGTATGACTGCCAAAACGATTTCTACGTTTCTGACGCGGTGCTGCTGCTGCCCCATGGCGGCGGCAACTTTGACTTTGAGATTTGCTATTTGCGGTTCGTGGAACACAAACCTCTTCGTCGTGCAGTTTCGAATTGTGGGCGGAGGAATGGATGTGATTAGTGCATCTAAAGGCGGTAAAAAAGACGCCCCAACCAGTTTTGGCACGACTACTCTGCTATATTCACGGCTGCTGATGGCGGTCCAGCTCCGAATGAAGGTACAAAAAGATGACGCATCACCGAATTTTTGTGAGACGCAGACTGCAACAGCCGTTCCTCCACATGTAAAGCTAGTGAGTTGAACAAGCAAGATACAGGCCAAGGTTGATCGGATCGTGTTGGGGTCAGTTGATGGAATCAATTCCTTAAGCAAATCAGGGTCAGGACGGGTAAGAAAATCCGTGAGGTGGCACCCAGATGTAGCTTCAATAAAACAAGCCCCCTGATCATTGCAGTCAATGGTTACCGCATCCTTGAGCTGACCAGCAAGTGGGTAGAAATGAAGTAGGATTTTAGACAAGGAGTTTTTGAGGGACTGAGATTTTTGTGACATACTACACATATTAGTAGCATTTGTAGTACTGGTATTGTCTGAGGGATAGAAGAATACGACAGAGCAGTAATGAATTCCAAGAATATCTTGATCTAAAAGAGAAAGATTGAAGGTTCTTAGATGATGAGGGGTTGGAATGGAAGGTTTGATGGTTTTTCTTGAGAGAATTTCAACCTTCATTTTCTCCAACTCTTTCCCTTAAACTTACTAATTTTGCTTTAACTTGGCCTGACACTTTTTGCCATTTTATACACAAATATATATGTATAATTCTCAAACATTGATGCAGCCATTTACGACCCACGAAATCATTTTCTTTCTTTCCTTTTTTTTTAATATTTCACCTCTATGAATCGATCCATTAAGACCAGTTTCCCAGGTCTTTATTTTCTTTTAAATACTATTCTAATTTTCTAATGAAATATGTTCCAAGCAGCCACGAAACTGACTTGATCTTTATACAGAGACTGGAGCTGCTGGATATAAATTACACAAAGAAATAATTTAATTTGATCAGATTATTTAATTATTGGTTTGTTGCAGTAGCAGTAGCCACTGCAGGCAGGCTACGTTGTCATTCAACGAAACGAAGTAAAACTATAACAAATCTGTTCAGATCCAGGCTGATGTATGCGTTTAAAGGTCAACCCGACACTATTTAATTTTTTAAGTAATAAGAGGAGAGGAAAGTATGATGAAGACCGGATCTCACAATCCCGGATCAAGTCTCCATTCAATGATAGTTTTCGACAATTGCGGTCAATTTCCTCTGCTTATCTTGACTTTTTTGTTATCCCCAACAAGGCGACGACCTTAACAACAAGAAGTGTAAAATTTATGTAATTTTACACATATATATTTTTTATATAATTTATATTATATTAATTCAACTTTTGAATTCTATGTTTTTTTTTTAATAAAAAAGTCATAATCTCAAAATAGGCAAACGGATTATAGATACTAAAATTTGAACACAAATTAATTAAATACAATTTTTTAAAAAATGATTTTATGAACTTATTAATTTAAGTTTTAGATTTTGAATTTTATACTTATATAAATCATGCATGTCAAATTTTAAGTTAATTAAAAGTATTTAATTATTTGTTTTATAATAATAAAATTTTCTTGGTAATATATATTAAAAAAGTATTATTCATCATCAAAATGATAAAAATATAATTGATTTGAAACTTTACATGCATAATAAATATGAGTATATGTTAAATCTAATTACGTTTTGTGAAAATATAAATTATACATGAAATTATAAAAAAAATGTAAAAAAAAAAACTTATTTTATATTAGTGTAATTTGATCTTTCCATATATATATATATAATATTGATTTGTTCAAACTTTATTTTCATTTTATAAATATAAACTCGAAAACTAATCCATCTAGAGAATCTGACTATAAAAAACATCTAATGGAACATTTGGTTCATGAAATTTAAAATTTCTTATAGAAAAGTAATTTTAGAAAAATGATTCCCCAAAATCACTTTATTTACAGATTTTAAATAACAAAAACTTTCAATGTTTGGTTCAGCTAAAAAAATATAAATTTCGATACTTGATTCATGAAAATAAGAATATCAAATGAATTATTTTATTATATTACCTTTGATGATGCGTAAGTAACACATGGTATTTATAAAATCATATAAATAATCGATTTATTTAATATTTTTATAATATATTTATTTATTCAACATACAAGCTATTTAATTAAATTCATTTATATATGTAAATATATAAAAATACATATAAAAATATTACATGTAATTAAATTATATAGATAACATATAATTATTATATTGTTTATTTCATGTCAATTTTAAAAAAGAGATTCACTTGACATTCAAAAACATGTTGGTTAAAAGTACCAAAAGTCATCTAACTAGTAAAAAGACAATGATTGTTGGTCCAAAGGTTATCCATATTAGCAATTAACGATAATTTTTATAATAAACTGTCATCTTATATTATCATAACTCTAAAATTAGATATTTTGCATTTTCAAAGCTATTTGTTAATTTTAGTTTCCCTGCAAAAAACCATTCTTTTCTCTCTTTATTTTCTCTTATGCTCGCTGACTAATCGTCTCACTCTACATTTTCTCCTCTAATTGCCGTATGCTTTTACTTCATTTATCGTTCACCATCGTTGTTGCTGTCATTTTTTTCAGGTAACAACTAGCTTCTTGTTTTGGCTATATTAAAATCAAAGTTATAAGACATTATTAAAAATCATTATTGTTGGAGGTTTTGTGTGGTATTAAAATATTATAAAAGATAATAGGCATCTCTACTAATATAATATATAACGATTATAAGTTGTAAACGTCGTTAATACGATATTAGAGAGACGTTGCATTTCTCAAACATTGCTTATTTCATAATTAGCCGACAAAATTTAATATACCAACTGCCGTAACAGTTTTGATATTGTCAGACATTAAAGAGTTTTAAAATTCAAATAAATAAAAGAGTCGTCATCAATCTTTGTTAGGACGTGATTAATCACCCAAAAGTTTATCTTTTTAATAAAATCATAAAAGCAAGTTTAAAGTTTATCAAAAAGATAAATTTTGATCTACAAAAAATCAGGTTGGGTCCGAGAGTCAGTTACGTGCGATGAAAGATTAGCACCCCCACAACATCCATAAATTGGTACCATTTAATTATGCATTATTTTCGGTGTTGGATAAAAATGGTTTCAATTTAAAATTTAACACTAATTCCCTTCATTTGAAAAAATACAATATTGTTAAAGCTCTTTATTTAGAAATATTGAGAAAATATTAAAGTTAAAGAATTATTTTAAATTTTTTTAATATCTAGGTAGAATTTAAAATAATTGTTTTCACTTAAGATTTAACACGATAATCATTAAAATGAAATAACAATCTTTAGAGAAAATAATTGTTAGTGACTCTCCAACATCTAGGCAGAGTATCAAGAATTATTTCTTTCATAATATTATTTTTATTTTATTTTGTAGTATCACAACTTTTTTTAAAACTCGTTATTCTTTTTTTTATTATAAAATAGTTTATCATCAAATAGTAAATTAAAAAGAGAATAATATCGATAATTATCGATGATACCATGCTAACGTATGTATCCTTAAAGTTAAAAAAATATTGAGAAAATCTTAAAGTTAAAGAATTATTTTAAAATTTTCTAACATCTAGGCAGAATTTAAAATAATTATTTTCGCTTAAGATTTAACACGATAATCCTTAAAATGAAATAACAATCTTTAGAGAAAATATTGTTAGTGACTTTCCAACATCTAGGCAGAGTATCAAGAATTATTTCTTTCATAATCTTATTTTTATTTTATTTTGTAGTATCACAACTTTTTTTAAAACGCGTTATTCTTTTTTTTATTATAAAATATTTTATCATCAAATAGTAAATTAAAAATAGAATAATGTCGATAATTATCGATGATACCATGCTAACGTATGTATGCTAATAAATGTCATGTAAAATAAAATGTAATTTAAAAGTTGAATTCTTAAGTATAATGGACTACCTCGACTCTCCAACATCTAGGCAAAGCTTAGGTGCGACTATTTATATTTAATATCCCCATTTACTGTTATACTTTTTATTTATTAATCTTATTATTAATGAAAATTAAGAAATCGTGTGAAAAGACTTAACGAAGTAAAATTTCTTAAATACCCCATCATCTAGGCGGCATTTGGAAACAAATTACTTTAAATAGAATTTTCACACGTGTCTTTAGGATTTTTAGGATGTTTTGAGTAAGGGCTTGGGTAGAGGTTTTCAAGGTTAGGGTTTCAAGATTTTGAAGATTCGGATTTTAAGGGTTTGGATTTAAGGGATTTTGGATTTTGGGGTTTGGATTTAAAGGATTTTGGATTTTAGGGGTTTTAAAAAACACGAACATCTCTAAAAATCCTCAACATCTAGGCAGACTTTCGAAACAAGTTCAATTTTTATAATCTTTTTTTAAAAAAAAATTAATTTAAGAAACATAATTTTTTTTATAAAAATGTTCTTTTTTTTAAAAAAAAAAAAGGTTCCTTTTTTATGAAAACTTATTATCAAAAATATTATTAGCTTATTTAATATTTTTTATAATAATAATTTTTCAACATCTAGGCGAAATTATTATTTTTGAAATATGATTTAATTCCCTCCAACATCTAGGCATGGAAAAAAATTCTATTATTATTATTATTTAAGCATTTTTAATATTTTTTTAATTATTATTTTACTTTGTTTTCATTTTATTATTATTAAAACAATTAAAAAAATTTATCCTAACAAATTTAAAACTTATCATGCATAAATATAAAAAAAAACTTAAAATAACAAAATATATATATATAAAAAAAATTCAAAAAACAATTTTTTTTTACCTAAATCGGACCGATCAACGGTCTAGTCAACGACGGTTCGAGTCGACGGTTCGATTCAGTCTGGGCGCAGTCTGGTTGGTTCAGCGGTTTGATACTGATTCGATTCTGATTCAGTCAAACCGATCAAAGGTTGATGGAAAAGCGGGTCGCGGGTCAGGTGCACGGACCCTGGGTTGGGTCGCGGGTTGACGCGCGGATCCTAGGTGCTTAAAACAACGTCGTTTTGACTATTAACAACTTATATAAAAGTTAAATTTTTTTTTCATTCATTTTATTCCCTCTAAAAAAAAACCATTTTTTCTTCTTCAGCCAAACGCAGTGTCGGCCCGTCGTCGTCACCGCCGCTGTCGCCATCGTTCGTCGATCACCTGCCGCAGTTGCCGGTGGTCGAAAAATTTTCAGAAAACACCAAAATATTCCCCTCGATTCCCTGAACACAGATCTGACCTTTTTTTTTAGAGAACAAGCCCTGATCGGTGTAGATCGGGGTTTGAACTTTTTTAAGTTTTTTGTTTCTTTTTTTTTTTGTAAAACAAAGACTAATATGATTTTTTTATTCTTGCAGGAAGCTTCAGCGTTGAGGTTCCTTCTTACGGGGAGGACTGTGTTTTTTTTTTGTTTTTTTTGTAGTTTTTTTTGCAGTGTCTTTTTTTTTTTTGTCTATTTTTTGGTTTGGCTAGGAGTTCTATTTATAGAGCTCCAGCCGTGCATGTGTTTGAGGGAAGGGCATAGGGCTCGGCATAGGGTGTAAGCACGAACCCCATGCCCTATTATTTGTTTCTGTCTTATTTGACAGTTTGTCAATGGGATGAGTGATTAAAGGGGTGAAGGGTAAAGTATGATGATCAGAAAAGTGGGGTGTAGGGTCTGGTGGCAGTGGTGCCGGGGAAGGC